CTCTAAGGACTGATATTTGAAGGCCTATTGGGCCTAAAGACCATAGTTTGCAAGGTTTTTGGGCCATTTTGAGCTTAGGGTAAGGCTCTGTGTGCCCATATAGTATATACTTATGCCATAAAGTGCCTTATAGGGACTGCTTTGAGTATCTACTATGAAGGTACATGGAGCCTTTGGGTAAGGGTTTAGGACTAGGGTTTCGGATTGAGGGTTTAGGATTCAGGGTTTAGGGTTTGGGGTTTTGCGTTTAGGGGTTTACGGTCTTTCATGGCGCCTATGCTTAAGGGTTTCTTTAAGAGTTCTAAGCTGGTTCAGGGCACTACAAGGGCTTCTTCAGAGGGATTTATACGTGTTTGTAGCATTTGCATAGTCCAAGGGTTTTATCAGAGGTGTGATGGTTTGTGTTCTTTCAACACGGATGTCTACAAGGGGGTCTATGTGGGTATTCAGGAATCAGGGTTTAGGGCTGCTAAATCGGAGGTCGTTCTACTTGCGTCGGCGTTTCCATTGATGTGCTATTTGGGACATGCCTCTGCTACTGACCGCATGTGGTGCCAGTACAAGCAGAACTCGAAACCCACCCTAAACTCTGAGATTCGCGAGCCCAAAACACATCGCGCTCTACCTCAGGGCTCTTCATTCGCTGCTGCGGCATGTTATCGGCTCGGATACCCGGAATGACGATGAGAAACTTTGTGGGTGGTGGGATCCAGGTTTTGGGGATGTAGGGCTCAGGCATTCAGGTTATAATTGCACGCGTCAGGGAGGCATGTCGAAAAGGTTCATGTCGATGTATGTATGCAAGGAATGGATTGCCAGTGTCGGGTTTCAGTAGATTTTTGGAGGCGCCTGGACATCATAGAAGAAGCACATGTCACGATGGTATTGCTCTCAGGCCATGCCGTATCAGCGAACCGGGCCCGCCTCAAGATTCAGCATGCGCCTATCTCCGAAAAACCTCAAATTCGAAGCCCTGAAATCCCATCCCTGGCTTCTTGTTAAGGTTACCTTCATTGTTACACAGTAGGGATCTGCAGTCAGTAAAATGGTTTCCGTATTCTTGTAATGTATGTTTTTGTGTTAAAGTTGAACCAAACGAAGGGTGCCCCTTGTTTCGGAGGGTTTTAAAGGGATTACTGGCAAACCTGGACCTGCAAATGGCAGATCTTAATATGGAGGCCTACATAAGTACCAATGCTATTCTGAGGGGGGGTTGTCCTGATTATCGTGTTCTTGAGACACCCAAGAACGCCAGCCCTCAGCCCAAAACCATGAACCCCAAGCCAGCACCCTTGAATCATTTGGGACTCTTAGCGGGGGTGGATTAATAAGGCCTATTAATGGAAGCATAGTCCTCTACCCCCCTCTGATTTAAGCAGAAACGAAGTTCACATCGAGCTTCTTTGGCGTCAGGCAACGATTCTGTGAGCCAGGAAGCCGCCCCAGATGACGTGGAGGTGGGTTTCTTCGTTAGGGCTGTGCGGCCCCAGGGAGTGGGGTGGGGAGCTCTAGCACTCCATGTTGCGAGCATTCGGGCTTTGGGTTTGCGTTCCAAGAGCTAATTGCAACGGACGCCAGTTGAGTTTGAAGCTAGAATCAGGATGACAGTGCCCAATCCCCAGAAGCAGTGCTTCTAAACTCTAAAACCCTAATTACACCCTAAAACCCGAATTAAACTCTAAAGCCATAGAGCTCTACTTAAACCCTAAACCCTAAAACCCTAATTAGAACCCTAAATCCACCGACAGGGCTATTGAGAATCGAATTTTCTTAGCGGGTCCTGGGAGCTGGGAGTCTCGAGCGCCCGGTGATCAAACTGTTGCACCTTTCTGGCTCCTAAACCCTAAACCCTAAACCCTAAACCCTAAACCCCTAAACCCCTAAACCCCTAAACCCCTAAACCCCTAAACCCCTAAACCCTAAACCCTAAACCCTAAGGGATCTACAAGGGTGGAGGGCCTTCGGGTTCCTTTAGGGGTTCTATAAGGGATCTATAAGGGTTTGCGGCTTTGAGGGTTTGGGGTTACGGGGTTTTGGTCTATAAGGGTTAACAATAGGGAGCTATAAGGGTAGTATACTACTATTTTGAGCGCTCCTCTAAAGAGTTCCTTAAAAGGGGGGGGGGTATATAACGGATCCATAATAGGGGTCTATGGTATAAGGGACCTTAATTATTACTGGCAGTTACTCTACGGGGTTTGGGTTTGCCAAAGTTCCAAGGGTTCCTTTAAAGGGGTCTATAAGGGATCTATAAGGGTACTACAATAGTATTTTGGGGTTCTTTATTATGATTATGGTACAATGTGCCCTAAAGCCCTATTCTAATGATTAAGGCTAGGGTTTTAGGGTTAAGGGTTTTAGGGTTTAGGCTTCAGGGTTTAGGGTTGACGGTTCAGGCGTCAGCACACATGTCAGTAGCAGTGGGAACAGTAGCAGCAGTAGTAGTTAGTAGTTGCCATAGACGTAGTTGTCGTCGTCGTGGTAGACTTAGCCGTCGTCACTGTGCTTGTAGTACTGGTAGAACTCGTAGCAACAGCACAGCCGCAGGCTAAAATCAAGTCTGAAACCCACAATCCCTAAGGCTCGATGTACTCTTGTAGTAGGTACTTAGGCCTTGAAGTACGTATATAGGGACCCCTTTAAGGCCTAAGCATCTACTATAAAGATACATGGAGCCTTTGGGAATCCGAAATCCTGCAGGGTTACCTTGTTTTGGGGTCCTTATGATAAGGATCCTACTATTTAGGGTACTATATTAATACTAGGGTCCCCTATTTTCGGAAACTCCCAAGTCTGAAACCCACAATCCGAAATCCCGACAGCGTGGCTCAAACGATGGACCGGCCGGGCCCTCGACGCTCTTCTTGGACGAAGACGTGTCCTGGTCGGCACTGCAGTCGGCACTCGTTTAATGTAGGGGCCTTAATAGTTACCTGCACTATTTTGGGGGTTCCTCATGATAACTATAGTACACAGGAGCCCCAAGACCCTATTCTAATAATTAATAAGGCCTATTAGGTTCAAGGATAGTATACAGGAGCCCAAAACCCTATTCTCATCGTTCAGGCCCCTGTACTAGACCCAAGAGTAACCCAGGCATAAAAAGGATGCCCTTTTTGGTTTAAAGGGGTTTATAAGGGATGCTGAACCCTAAAAAAGGGAATAAGGGCCTACTCTAGGTCCTAGTGTATTATTCAGGTCTTGGTGCTTTGGGAGGAGCCAGGTTCTGGGGCTTTGGGGTTCCACGGTTTAGGGTTTAGGGTTCAGGGTTTAGGGTTTAGGTTTTAGGGTTTAGGGTTTAGGGTTTAGGGTTTAGGGTTTAGGGTTGGAGGTGAGATTTCCTATCCAAGGGCAGAAGGAGCGACCCTTAGCAAGGAATCCTAGGTATGTATATACCCTGAATATGGCTACTATATACCCATGATATAGCCCATTCTAGGGTAGGGGTCCCCATTAAGGGTCCCTCCTTTTCCCCTTTGATCCTAATCCGTCTTGCAGGAGGTCTAGGGCTTGTTCAGCTAGGCCCCCTTCGACCTTAAACTAGTAGACCCTCAGCCCACAACCTCGAAACCCAAGACGAAACCCAAAGCCCTTTCCCTAGAATCCATACACCCTTAAACCCTACCCCTTAAAGCCTAAACTTTACACCCTGAACCCTGAGCCCCCTAAGCCGCAAACCCGAAAGCCCTAGAAGCCTAAACTGGGCTCTTGTTAAGGGATCTGGTTTAAGCTATCATACTAGGGATCTACAGTACATAATATATGCGTTCCTTATTATCGTAACTTAAACCTTATACCCCATACCCTTAAAGGATCCCTTATGTGAATCCATAAAGGAATCCTTATAGATCCCTAAAAGGAACCCTTATAGATCCCTTAAAGAACCCAGTAAACTGCCTTCCGCCGGTGAGGTCCAGGAATCGGCGCGGGGCGCCTGCGCCACTGACAGGGGCAGGTGTCTCAAGGGGTCTTTTAGGGGTTCCTTTAAGGGACTAGGACCTAGAGTAGGCCCTTATTCCCTTTTTTAGGGTTCAGCTTCCCTTATAAACCCCTTTAAACCAAAAAGGGCATCCTTTTTATGCCTGGGTTACTCTTGGGTCTAGGGGATCCTTTAAGGGGTTTAGGATCCTGTAGGGGGTTCCTTTAAGTGGTTTCGGGGTCCTTTAGGGGTTCCCTTCAGGGTTCCTTTAAGGGATTTAGGGGTCCTTTAGGGGTCCCTTTAAGGGATCCTTTAAGCGATTTAGGGTCCTTGAGGGGTTCCTTTAAGGGTTCCTTCAGGGGATTTCGGTGTGCTTTAAGGCTTCCTTTAAGGGTTCAGGTTTCTTTTTAGTTGTTCCTCTAAGGGTGTCTATACGTGTTCCTTATGGTCGGGTTTAGCCTTTTTGTGGGTCTTGGTCGTCGTGGTCGTCGTCGTGGTGCTCTATGAGATGCGTTCCGGGGGGTTCCTTCCAGACCCGGAACCCTGAACCCTGTATCCTAAACCCTCAAGAGTACCCATGAAAGGAACCCTTTAGAGGAACTTTTTGCGAACCCCCTTCGAGGCTCCTGCGAGGGCTCAACTTTACGGGATCATTTAAGGGTTCCTTTGAGGGATCCCATACCCTAAGTCTCTCAGGATTCATATGTTAAGGCTTGTGGGCCAAAAGACCATATCATATAAGGCTTTCAGGCCAGTTTTGAGCCTTAGGGATAAGGAGCTGTGAAACCCTAAACCCCTAAACCCCCAAGCCCCCAAAGCCCCTAAGCCCCGAAAACCCTAAACCCATAAGGGCTCGTACAGTTGCCCACATCTCCTGGTCTACCAGGCCTTGATGTTTGTGACCCAGGAGCAGGCATCAAAAAGGAGCTCAAAAAACAAAAACACCTAAACCCCTAAACTCTAAACCCCTAAACCCCCTAAGCCCCTAAAACCCTAAACCCTAAACCCATAAGGAAACCTGGGGCTGAGGGTGTAAGGCAGCCCATGCCTTGCAGGATAGCCCTGGACGGCTGCCGGGGTGATGTTCAATCCGATCATCTTCCAGGCCGGTAGGGTTTAGGGCTTAGGTTTTAGGGCTTAGGGTTTAGTGCCGCCGGCCTGTGGAATCCAAAAACCTACAGTTTTTAGGGTTAGACCCTCTAATTAAGGGGTCATAACCTACTATTTTGCAGGGTTTGGGGTCACAGGGGTGCTGTAGGTTCCCAGTTTAGGGTTGCGGGTTTAGGTATCCAGAATCCTCTAAGGGTTCCTTGAAAGGGGTCTATAAGGCTACTATAAGGGATCTTTAAGGGGACCCAAAAACTCCCAAACCCCTTTATTACGAAATATACTTTCAGTTATAATAGCATCCGACCCCTGATACGATATAAGGTTTATTCCCTAATTAGGGGGTTTTGGAGGCTCTGGGTTCCTTTTACTGTCTTGTTCGTAGGGAGTGCAGGAACGGATGATGGAGACTGACTACTATGGGGATCTATTCCCTCATTCCCTACTAAGCAGTCGGGGTTTGAGGGTTCCGGGTTAGGGCTGTATAATAGGGTTTCTTTACAGGCTCTATAAGGGATCTACAAGGGTGTAGGGCCTTAGGGTTCCTTTAAGGGCTCTATAAGGGATCTATAAGGGTTTAGGGTTTTGAGGGTTTAGGGTTGGGGCATCCTTCTAAAGGGTACTATAGGGCTCCATCATAGGGTTGCCTTAGAGGGTTCCCCAAAAGGGATCTGTAAGGGATCTATAAGGGTTTAGGGTTTTGGAGCCAGGGTTTACATCATCTAGGATGCCCAGTAGTACCCTTATTCCCTCTTTTAGTCCTAGGTTCCTTATAAAGTTACCCAATACCAAAAAGAGAGGCCTTTTTATTCTTAGGTTACTGGGTATCCTAGTCATGGTGTTTGGGCTTTGAGAGGCTTCGGGCTTCATTGTTCCATTGTTTCAAGTTCAAGGTTCTGGGTTTGGGGCTTGGGCGTACCGCGATCCTGCATCCCATACAGACGTAGTCAACCAAAGAAGAGGCCAAAAGATGCTAAGATTATAGGTAATACGGGGGCCTCAAAAGAACTTGCGCCCTCAGAACAAACTCTGCCTGCCGGATCAACAACTTGGAGGGTCGGGGGACTTAGTAACTGGTTATTTTAGGGACTTATAAGTACCATAACCCCAATTAGGGTCCCTTTTAGGGTACTTATAAGTCTACTTACTACCTACTTACTAAGTCACCCGACCCTCCAAGAACTGTTCAGGTACTCTCAAACCTGAGTCCGAACTATCCCTTTAAGCCCCTACCCCTGCCCAAAGCCAGCGACTTCACAGATATGTGGGCGGTTATCCAAATTAGGGTCCCTTTTTGGGTCCCTATTATAGTACGTCACCTAACCTAGCATTTAGGGTACCCTGAAGGGACCCTAATTTTAACAACCACCCATATGGTGTTGGGTATTCCTCAGGAATTACAGTAGAAGCCGGAAAGTTGGAATATCATTATCGTATCCCCTTTAAGGTAAATTATAGGGGATCCTACCATTAATCCATATTCCAACTTTCTGGAGTTGCCTTTAAACCACCCTAAACCCTAAACCCTAAACCCCTAAACCCCTAAACCCTAAATTCGGGCTCACTCCTCTTCCTTTAGGCTAAGACCACGGGAAGAAGTCCGAGCACGAACTCCAAGGCTTCAGGGTGAAAGGCCCTCAGGATTTAGGCTTCCCTAAAGGGTTCCTTAAGGGGCTCCTTTTAAAGGTTTCTATAAGGGGATCTACAGGGATTTAGGGTGTAGGGGTTTACTTGCAGGATCATGAGCCTTAGTAACTAGGGTTATAAATAAAGGTAACTATACTTATGACTCCAATTAGGGTACTTATAACCTTACTTACTAAGTCCCATGATCCTCCAAGGAGGGTTTAGGACTCCCAAACCCTAAACCCCAAACCCCAAAAGGAGCCCTTGAATAAACCCTCAAAGGAACCCTTTTCTCAAAGCCCCGGATCCCCCCCGCTTAGGTTATCTGTACCTTAATTGAAGTTACAAGTAAATACCTCGTTTGTAACCCTAGTCATTAAAAAAACCCATGATCCTCCAAGTAGACCCTAAACCCTCCAGCTTCGATTTCACCTGCAGGCACCAAGGGCCTCATACAGCAAGACCTCCTTCCCCAGGAATCTATGTGTCTTGTCTCTTGAAGTTCAGGGTTTCGGATTTAGGGTTCGCAGGGTTTTTATGCGTTCCGGCAAAGGTTGCTTAAAGGCTTGTTCCAGCAGTTTGTTTGACTTGACTTGGCAGATGTTTTGAGCTTGCGCTGAGGGTCCATATATACTACCCTTTTGCAACGCGGTCCCAAAACACCACCATAATATAGTTTTGTGTACTTAATTTCGTCATAGTAGTAGATAAGGACCCTCTGGGTTGTTGTGGTGTAGGGGGGTTCAATGGTTGAAGGCTTCGAGTTTGGTAATGTAGGAACCTGATTAAGAAACCCTGGGCCTAGAACCCCCCCGAATCGTAGGATTCATATAAGGAACCCTAAGAAAGGCCAAAGTTTCTTAAGCGGGTTCCTACATCAAAACTCCCCAAAACCCTTATAGCACCCTTATAGTACCCTTTAACGGAACCCTCATAGAACCCTAATAAGGGAACACTAAGGTTTCTTAATCAGGTTCCTACATTAGGGATAAGGCTCTGAGGGTGGCACGGTTTAGGGTTTAGGGTTTAGGGTTTAGGGTTTAGGGTTTAGGGTTTAGGGCAAGGGTAGTGCAAAGGACGCCTGCCATCGTAGAGCCTCCACGAATTGCAGGCGTGCCGCAGCCTCCCCAGCAAGTGCCAGAAGTGATTGAGGCAGGCTATGATCCCAAAGGCTCCATGTACCCAAATATGAGATACTTAAGCCTTAAAGTGGTCTCTATGTTGGTACTTTGGGGGCAAAGTGTATACTATTTGGGTACATGGATCCTTTGGGGATCATGATAAGTATTATCTGGGAGCCAGGCTCATGACGGCACGTGAGTTGCTGAAGGCAACAGAACCATTGGCAGATTTAAGAGGCAGTATGCTGATATGGATGGTGAAAAGTTCATGGACCCGTGCATTGCCCGAGCCACTGCGGAGTCAAGGCTGTTCTCTACGGCGCAGGCAAACGTGTGGCAGAAAGCTCCCTACCATGTGAGGCAATATCAGTTTTATGATGTTTATCCACAGTGTGAGCTCAACTGGATGATGAGAAAAAACAGCCACTGCGATAGCGGACGATCCGTGGCAACAAACAGGAATGTTTGTTTGTGCGTGATTAGGCTCTGAGGGTTTAGAACTGCAAAATTCCATGGTTGAAGGCTTCGACTTTCCAAAATAACCTCGATTTTTGAAGACTTACATCAGGAAATCATGATAGGGAACCCTAAACAGTGAGGTTTTACAGGGTCCAGATATGCTTTAAGGGTGTAGGCATTGCTCAGTTAAACGGTTTAAGGTTCAGGCTGTTTTAGTGCGCGGTAGTACTCTGTTTCTGTGGTGGGCTTGTGCTTCTCGATGTGTCAACTCCCCTAGTCTTGGTGTTCTTCTGGTTGGCTCTTAGGACTTTAGCTTTTTGGGTTTCTATATGAACAGTAATATGTAGGCCAAAAGTTTAAGTTGTTGGAGTGTCTCAAAAGTCAGCCAAATAGTCTTTGACACCGAAACAGTCAGTCTTGCACATTGACCCGAAACCCAAACCCTGGATCATGGGCCCGGCAACCTCAAGCTATGAGTGTGACCTGAACCAATGACACCGACAGCAGAAAAAGGCCATCTGAATCCTATGCGATAAGGATCTTTGTTGTGTATACTCTGTTCTAGGGCTAGACGTGAATCCCTCTCTGTTCATGCCACCCCACACTGCAAACCACAAATCTGCAGCCAAACCCTAAACCCTATAAACCCTAAAGGCAACCCAGAAAGGAACCTTAAAGGCTCCTCACGGAGCGCACTTTGTCAGAGTTTAGCTTAAAGCTTTTTGGTTGCCCGTAGCTGTGTATTGACTAGGTACTTGGGCTTAGGATAGCACCCAGATCCCCGAGAGGAACTAGAAAGTAGAACGTGTAGTTTGGGACCCTATACTACTAAAGCGTGCTTTATAGAAACCCTCTTCAGGGATCTACTTCTTGGATTCTCCGTATATGATTGTTGGGAACCAGGACCCTAAACGCCCTACCTTTCTTAGGGCTCCTTACTATGATTTTCTCATAGGAGTCCGTAAAAGGGTAGGTTATTTAGGGCTCCTTCTTGTGATTTCCTTACAGAAGTCCTTCTAAGGTCGGATATTTAGGGGTCCTTAACTGTTATGTCCGCGAGTCCTGAAAAAAGGCTGGCTATTTAGGGTCCACGCTTAGGGCTAGGGTTTAACCAGCTGCTGCCCAGGTACGATCCCATGGAATCCGATGATTTCACCAGGTCGCTGCGGTTTCTTGTACTTGGAGGATCACTGTAGCAACTACAGTTTTGCACAAGGTAGCTACAGTTATGACTACTTGCAACTCCTACTAAGCTACTCAGAACCTTGCTTGCCATGTATCCTCTCTGTCAGGGCCCGGGGGGACGCAGGGGGATTGGGAGGTTGGATCCTTAAAAGGGTTCTATAAGGGATCCTCAAAAGGTTCTATAAGGGCTCCTTAGAGGGTTCTATAAGGGATCCTTAAAAGGTTCTATGAGGGTTCCTTAAAAGGTTCTAATCCTTAAAAGGTTCTATGAGGGTTCCTTAAAAGGTTCTGTAAGGGATCCTTAAAAGGTTTTATAAGGGTTCCTTAAAAGGTTCTACAAGGGATCCTTAAAAGGTTCTATAAGGGATCTCAGGCCGTCGATTTGGCAGTTTCAAGTGTTAACAGAACTTGCTGCGGCTCCATGGTTCTTAGTAGCTGAATTAAAACGCTTTACACTTTTCCCTGGACACCAAAATAGCCCAAGAGCCTTTTATAGTATGGTCTTTAGGCCCGAAAGCCTGAATATATGAGTCCTTCGATGCCTAGGGTTTTGGGATGATATCATCTCTTATGGAGCTGAAAGTGTACACATTTTGGGCTTCTGAACTCTGCGCTTACGAGTTGTGCCATCTTTTTAGGGGCCTCGGGGGGTGGTTTACCCGGGCCAAATGACATAGGTTTAGCAAAGACTCGCGAGGATCCCTTGTCCAGCAGCCCTCCCTTGGCTCCACGTGCACATAGGGGTGCTTTTAAGGTCCCTTTCAGGGTTCCATACCCAGACCTTCGGGAGGATCTAGAAAGTACATCCCCTAAGTTGGCGCCCTATACTACTAAGGGTACTTTATTATAGGCACCCCATTAAGGGATCTACTTTTTGGATCCTCCTAGAGGTCTGGGTAAGGGTACCATGAGGGTTTAGGGTTTCAGCGTCCATGTGTCCATGTAGTACATAATTACTCTGGCCTTATAGGGGTTCAAAACAGGATTCTGAAGGCTTCAGTGGACATACTGCATGTGTAGGCGGATTGCCTCACTATGTTGCGGATAGTCGATGTCGTGGCAAACATCCACTTACAGAAATAGGGAAAGCAAGAAAGCCTCTTAAGACCCTCCAAGTACTTGGAGCAGTACTCAACGCCCTGACGCCAACCAGAAGCGAAGCGCTACTTAGTGGCCTACGGCCTGGGGTTTAGGGTTCAAACTAAGCTCGCAAATCAAAATTCAGGGTTGCCGGCTTCACCCCTAAACATTAATTACCCCTTCGACTCATCTCAGCCTTAACTACAGTACAGATAGCTGAGTAGGATAAGCTTTAATCTTTTGGGGGTTTATCTAATCCTACCGTATTTGACAAGCTTGACCTCGTGCTGGAATACTCAGCCCCCTATGAAACCCTGCCTACAGTCTCCATTGTAGTTCCAGCTTAACACCAGCAAGTTGGAGCATGAACCAGGGATGATTAATACTGCGATTTCCGAGACGTTACCCTAAGGGCGTCATCAGGATAATGATGCTCAGACTTTCTGGCTGCTGTTGTCAATCCCAAAACCCGAAACCCTTAAACCCTACCTAGAGTCTCCATTGTACTGTAGTTCCTTTTTGGGGTTACCCTTATAGGATCCTAATTAAGTATTTGGTTAAACCAAAAAAAGGAACTACAATGGAGACTATAGGTACTCCCTTTCCCAAGCTAGACCCCTTCATTGCAGTTCCTTCCATCTAAACCCTGGTATACGGTCCAGGCCGCACAGGCGGAGTACCCTGCCTCTGGTTTCCTGCACCAAAGGCGGCCTCCGTGGTGATGTGCCCCGGAATAGGAGACTATAACCCTAAGGCTCTAAGGGCTAATATTTTAAAGGCTTTTGGGCCCAAAGACCATATTATATGAGGCTTTTGGGCCATTTTGAGCCTTAAGGTAAAAGGCCTTAGTAATTACCTTTTCTATGCTGGGGGTTCCTTATTTTCATGATAGTGTAGCGGGCCCCAAACCCCTATCCTAGTTGTTAAGGCCCCTTTTCTAAACCCCCATCATGCCCTTCTTGTAATCGTTGGACCCTTTTGAAGAACTTTTGAAGGAACCCTAGTCCAATTATTAAGGCCCCTACATTAGGCTAAGAGGGCTTGAGGAGGAGGAGGAGGAGGAGGAGGGTTGCTCTGATTGTCATTCCTGAAGCTTTGCGACTGCAAGCAAGTGTCCGTGAGCCGCATTGCTTTGCTTTCCCAGCGCCCGTAACCTGAAATCCGTTGAAAGCTTAAACCGCTTAACCTCAACCCCTACCCTAAGGCTCTAAGGATTGATGTTTGAAGGCTTGTGCCTTAGGGCGAAAGTGCAGATTCCGTAACCCTACACCCTTAAACCCAAAAGCGCGGAAGCGCGAAGCCGTGAGCCCAAGGTACTTTCACGCGAACTCCGAGGACATTGGCACTGCCTTCCATTTCGTAAAACACATGCGAGATCAGTTCAAGGCCAGTGGCTCCGGGTTTTTGTTAGGGTTCAGGCAATCTTATATGGAAATGAGCTGTGAACACCGAAGTTGACATCCACAACCTTGCAGCATCTTAATCCTGCGCCCTAGTTTATTCATTCCTCGAACCTAAACTGTTTAGGGAACCCGGCGCCCTATTCAGGTCACGAAGCCCCCATGCCGACTAACATTGATCGTAAATCCCCAAACCGTTGTAACCCTTGTAATTATGAACCTGGAAACCAAAACTCACAACTCAACCCTATCTGCCGTAAGGGTCCAGGTATCGCCGTAGGAGGGTCCGGAATCTCCTAGAGAGAGTCCTTGCATCTCTTTGGGGTCTCAAAAACCCTCAATTTTGAGGTTCCCCAATTTGTTAGGACCCTCAGGGCGGATGCCAAGAACCAGGGAGCCCAATACCTCTCAATTAAGGAATATATTAGAAGCTGCCCCCACCCTGTAATAGTGGTATAATAGGAATATAATAGGGCCCTAATGTAGTCCTTATAGTCACTATTACAGGGTGGGGGCAGCTTCTAAGGAATATACCTTAAATAAGAAGGGGATTCAGATTATGATTTAAGCATATTCCTTGATTAAGGCTATTAAGGGGTATTGGGCTCTCTGGGGAAGCCTACTCTCTATGGTGTTTTAGTATGAGTCCCTTTTGTAGGTCCACCCCTTAAAAGGTATAGGTTCTTCAGGACCCAGGCACACCCTGAAGCCTGAAATCCTTAACCTTCACTCTTTTCAACCCTAAGCCCACTACGAGGTGAACGTCATTGCCGTGGAGTATCCCGGCTATGGGCTACTGCAAGGCATCGAGCCCGCCGAGGAGGACAGGGTATGTTCTACTTGGAGGGGCAGCGGACTTAGTAAGTAGGTTATAAGTAGTGTTATAATTGGGGTAACTCTATTTAGGGTACTTATGACTCTACTTATAACCTACTTACTAAGTCCCCTGCCCTTCCAAGTAGGGTTTAGGTGACCCTTCTAGACCCCTTGTAAGGATCCCTAGTCTAATTTGAAACGCTGCGCGTCGTCCGCCTCGGCCCGGCTGTACGCGCATGCGGCGAGTGGCTACAATCTGCAGCAAGGTCTTGTAGGAAAAAAGTAACAGTTGGAATCGCACTTATAGTAAAAGTAATGTTCATAGCAACACGAAGCAGGATGATTGTGAGTAGTATTAGTAGTGGTAGTATCAGTACGAATTTTGGTGTCGTCATTCCGAAACACTGGATACCAAGACTCTCGCAAGCGGCGGGATGCCTTAAGTATGGGCCGTTGAGGCTGTGGATTTCGTGGGCGTCTTGGATTAGGGAAGCATCAGACCCTTTTCAACCACGTTACTCCGCCTATCCCAACGAAAGGGCGTCTAAATCAAGCCTGAGACGCACATAAACATGCTACATTGCAGTCGAAAACTCCAGAAAGCTCGCACCTGTCAGCGAGCGGAGGAGGGGCGGGAGGGAAGGGGGAAGGGGGGGGAGGAGGGGGGGGGGGAGGGGGGGGCAGGGGCACCGGACCTTGGGGCTAGTCGACACGTTTCCATTTTAAAGGGGGGGGTCAGCGGGCCCCGTTTTTGGGGTGGGGTCACTGGCGGGGAATCGGAGAATCCGAATAGGAACCTCTGACCGCTTCGGCCGGGGCCGAGGCGAATTGTTAAGGTCTCTACATTCTAGTAGCCTTGTAGTAACCCTTATAGACCCCTTCAAAGGAACCCAACTCTAATTATTTCAGGGTTTCAGGGTTTCGGGTTTTAGAGTTTCGGGCTCCGGCCGGTCGAGGGCCAGAAGGTTTGGGGTTAAGGGTAGCGTTTCAATTTTATGTCCGTTTTTGCTTTGCTTGTTGGGCATGATACCGCCCTTGCATATCTGTGCCTCCCAAATCTTTAAGCCTATATTCCAGCGGTGTTAATAGTTCGGATAGGGTTTGGTGTATATTTTACTAAAGTTAACAGAAGGAACCCCCAAAACCCTGCTCAATTTAGTAAGGCCCCTACATTACTTACCTGCGACCGATTGGGTAAAAGACTCTTGGCACTTGGTCATCAATCAGTCGAACAGTCTTGGATCCGTACGACACCTTACAATAGTCCTTTCCGAAACCCAGGAACCCTAAACCCTATTGGGGTTTAGGGTTCATGGGTTAGGGTTTAGAGTTCAGGGTTTAGGGTTTAGGGACTAACCCCCCCAAACCCATGATTCCTAGACCATGACTGAACCCAGAATATGAACCCTGAACCCTACAGCCCCCAAAACCCACGGAACACCCCTGAAAAGAACCCTTATAGATCCCCTAAAAGGAACCCGAAGCCCCACGCGTCCCTTGTAGGAATCCCGCATAGATCCGTTAAAGCATCCCCTAAAGCCTTGAAGGAGCCCTTTGAAAGCCCCTAAACCCTAAACCCCAAACCCTAAACCCTAAACCCCCCCCCCCCCCCAAAAAAAAAAAGCTTCCCAGACCATCTTCGAAGTCGCCCTGACGGTGTTCAGATATCTCGTGGATGACTTGCGGGTCAGCTATTCTTCTGTGATCGCTGCTTCGACCGAGGGGCTGGGTTAGGGTTTGGGGCTTAGGGTTTAGGGTTTGGAGTGAAGGGTTGAGGGTTTGGGGCTAAGGGTTTAGGGTTTGGGGCTAAGGGTTTAGGGTTTGGGGCTAAGGGTTTAGGGTTTGGGGCTTAGGGTTTAGGGTTTGGGGCTTAGGGTTTAGGGTTTGGGGGCTTCGACCTTCGCGAGCTTGCCTAGGTTTCAGGGTTTATGGGGCATTGCAGCGTAGGGCTTTTGGATTTACGGCTTAAGGTTAAGGCTGCGAGGGTCTCGGCAATTCGCATCGTAAAATCATCCTAAATCCTAGACCCCCAACCCGGATAAGTTCCAAAACTCTCTAAGCCAAAGCCGTATGCTGTGCATTGGCTGCCTCCCGCAAACAGCAAAAATTCGTACAACATATTGTTTGAGTCTTGAACCTTTTTAGAGCTCTACTTTGAAGATCTGCTACCTTTCGGGGATGTTCTGCGAGGAGTATTGCATCGACCTGCAAACTTCTGTAACGGTCATCATGTCCTTCACACCTTTGCGCCCCGCCACCGCTTGCACCCCATTCAGCACACCTTTTGCGGTTGACTCTCCACGCCTCAACCCTCCACTCTGTCCGCCGCACCTCCGTTTCAGGGCAGAGGGCAGAAGATAAGCAGAAGGCAGAGGGCAGAGGCAGCCCTCAGCCCTAAGCCCTAAACCATCGACCCAATCCAAGGTTTTTGGCCGATCCTTGGGAAGTGGCCCCGCGATTTTCTTGGCATCCCAGTGCCTTGGGTTTCTCGAGCTCGTGCAACGTTTCACAGCCTGTTTCTAGAAAGTCCAACCGCTGCTTCGAGACCCTGTGCTAAAGGGTTCTTTGTGGCAACCCCTTGAAGGGATCTGTCAGGGGTCTGGGTGTAGAGTTGTGTTTCCAGGGTCTTCGAGGGGGTGCAGCTTGGGTTTGAGGGGAAGCAGTCGGACAGGTTTCGAAGGGTTTTGACAGTGTTTCCGTTGGTTTCGTTGTTTAGTGTACACGTTGTGTCTCCGGAAGTTAGGGTGTTCAAAGCAGTTTCATTAGGATCTTGGACCTAATCTGCAGTCGGGTTTCTATTAGCAGCTCCTTGAGGATGTTGGTGAGTGCATATTCTGGGTGTCATTACTCTGTGGGACTACTTCATAAACTTGGAGGCCAAAATCCAGCTTTAGGAGGGAAATCCCGACAACTTCGGCCGAGGGTGAGGTGAATTAAAACCCAAACAAAGCCCAGACGCTGTCACGAACTGCCTGGTCGTCTGACTGAGGTATCCCCTCGGCGGCATGATACTGGTTTCGCCGTTCATTTCTATTCGCGCTGCTGCCAAACATATTGGTGGCAGAATAGTGGCCTTCATGTTCAGCAATGTCTTCCAGAACCACAAGAGGCCCGGCAAGTGAACTCCAACATGTACAGCCTGCAAGCAAGCCATGCGAAACATCCCGGCATATCATGTCAATTAGGTGGCGCCACTAACGACTCTAAACCCGATGAATCAAACATCTACATGCAGCATCGGTCTTCCACAGACAGTGGTAGGGGCTCAGGAGACCATCTAAACATAAGGATCTCGCAATGAGTTTTGTTCTTTAAAATCTCCGTATAGTCCATGCGATACCCCAACACACTCCTCGGGGTGCCAACAACAGTCATATTACGATACTCAAAAACGGACGATTCTGTATTAAGGCCCGTTATAACTATACCCTAAACTGCTAAACCCTTCTTGAGCGGTGATTTCGCGATCCTGAAGGACGAAATGAACCTTAAGAGGGTTCCAGGTTCAGAAATCCATATTTCGATTTACAGTATGATTAAGATTATGAGGTCCTTACTTTCAAGGGTCATGTCGTCTTTAATGTATAAGCCCCAAACCGACTTGAGAAGGCCGTGTAGAAGCGGATAACAAGTACCTACAAACCTCTTTCAGCTTCAGCACCTACCCACATCTCCGAACTCTGCAGAATAGAACAGAATAGTTGGTTTTGGCCACATAATTTATCCAGTTGGTGCCGCCCTGAATTTTTTTGCTAAATCGCAGTTAAAGCTTGGATCACGGGTTGGAAAAGAGGGCCCAAGAACCCTGCACCCAAATCTCACAAAGCTAAATGACCTCCAACCCTGGTCCCTAAACCGTAGTCCCTAAATCCGAAACCCTCAACCCTTGCACCGCATTTCAGCTTAAAGCAACACTCAGCCCAGAACCCTTTAAGAAAAAACAACCCTAACCCTAAGGCTCTAAGGACTCATATTTTAAGGCATGTGGGCCTAAAGACCATATTATATTAGGCTTTTGGGCCATTTTGAGCCTTAGGGTAAAGCTGGACGACGCTGAAGCCTGGAGGATGGTGAATGTCTCGTGCCCGGTGCTTTTTATCCACGGCGCCAGCGATTCCCTGACACATTGCCCGGATTGGAAATCTTTAACTTGAAGGTCTTGGGTTGATATGGTTTAAGGTTTGAAGTTTCGGGAAATCTTGAAGTTTAAGGTTTAGGCTTTGGGATTTAGGGTAGAAGGTTTTGGGCTTGACAGCGGTTGTCAAAGGCTTTTACTGGGATTTTGGAGCATTGTTGAAGTTTAAGGGTGCAGGGTTTTGTGGTAGTTTGGTGCTACATAATTTGTAAAGGGGTTCTCGCATGTATCAGCTACCGGCTGATTGGGGCTTTGGGTTGGTGGTGTTGAGGAGTTCTTGAGAACAGGACGTTTGTTGACTTGATAAGACGTCTTTGGCCGTGCAAGTGTAGGTTTAAGGCTTGGGCTTGATTGGAAAGCGGTTGTTCGGCAGGGCGTCCAGGTGTATAGGGTTCAGGACTTTAGGGTATTCGGAGTCCGGGGTTGCTTTGAAAGGGCGTCCTCCTCTCTGTGATGTAGCTAAATGAACCCTAAAGGGGTTTAAGGTTCAGAAACCATATAGGGGTTCAGAGTAACAAATTATGAGCGTGTAGGGCCCTTACTTTTCAGGGTCGTTTCGTCTGTAAGGGCGTGTGCAGTGCATGCCAGCATTCCCCTCGGGCTCCTGTGACTCAACCAGCAGGTTACTGTGCTACACATTATATGTCAAGTAACCCATTTGGAGGTTCATGGGACTTAGTAAGTAAGGTTATAAGTACCTGAACTGGATTCATGAATACTTATAAGTACAGTTACCTTATTTATAACCCTAGTTACTGAGTCCCATGCACAATTAAGTACAGTTTACGAGCCCCATGCTTTTTAGGTAACTGGAGGCTGATGATTCTTGTTTGACGATCTTACTAAACCTAGAGTAGGCCCTTATTCCCTTTTTAAGGGTTCAGGTTCCCTGATATGCCCCATTAAACCAGAAAGGGCACCCTTTTTGTTCCTAGGTTACTCTTGAGTCTAGCTTCTACCTATGGGCTACACACCCAATGTTGCTGCTGTAGCGGTTGCCTGAAGCTTCTGCCTGTCGCAGATACCAAGCTACCCGCACACAACCGCACCAAATGCAAACGAAATATTGTCGGGCCATCCAACGCATGGATGATATCTGTTGTAAGCTAAGCCCTCAGCCCTAGAGCCTGAACCTTGAGCACTACTGCCCCAACGCCGACATACATCGACACCCAGGATACCCGTGGAACACTCGAAGACGCTGTTTAGCCTCTGCCGATCTCGCAAGCTTCTAATCACTCCAGTATCTTCGGCAGCAAGAAAGGGTGATAAGCATGATTCTGAGGCTTGAATACTATAAAGGTCAGAGTACTTAGCATTTAACATCTATTCCTTAAGGTTGCTAATATAAGTGCACTATGAAATATCCCCAAACCCTACTCAAACATGCAAAGGCCGCTTGACTAATTCGTAATACCCAGCCTCAAGGTTCTCTACCATAACTCTGGTCTACTATAGGGGCTTAATAAGCTATCAATACACTATTTTGGGGGCTCCTTATTACGATCATAGTATAAGGAGCCCCAAAACCTTATTCTAATAAGTTAATAATTAAGGCCCCTGTATTACCCTTCTTCCCCTCGAAACCCTATACCTTTCCATCTCCCTCCCCAAATCCTAAACCCTGCACCCTCACCCTAAATCCTAAACCTCAAACCCTAAATCCTAAACCCTAAACCCTCACCCTAAATCCTGAACCTCAAACCCTAAACCCTAAACCCTCATCCTAAATCCTAAACCTCAAACCCTAAACCCTACACCCTCAGTTGGGCCTACACAGTCACCTAAGCTTGCCCTGCAGAGCCTTCAGGGTCGAAAAGGCCCCAAACAAATTCGGGTTCCATTTAAAGGGTTCTATAAGGTTCCCTTAAAAGGGTTACTATAAGGGGTTTTCTTATATGGGCCTGAACAATTGGGTACTCGATTTTAGGATAGTAGTTATGTAGGATAGGATTTTGGAGGGTATATGATTATTAGGTACTTGGACCCTTGGGGGAAGATAGAGCCCTAAACTGCCCCCGAAACCCTGCCCCCCCCCAAACTAGATACGAGCCCAAATTTATTTTCGCTTGGCTCTGATTCTAGGAGAATGACAGAACGCTGGCCCCTCTGTCCTTTCAACTCAGCAAAACGCTATCAAGCTTGTGAGATTAGGGACCCCACAAGGGCATAGGCATAAGCATTTTATAGGGATATCCCTACTCTATTGGGCTATTTGGCTTGTACGGGATATCCCTGCCCTTATATTTGCTTATGTACTTTTGGGCCGTGTAAAGCTTCTGTTACCAAATCTCCCCCTCCAAGGTGAAGATGGACCTTAAATCCAACAAAACCCCGCAAAGCTTCTGGAGATTGTAGTATCCTGATTATCGTATCCTTATGGGAGGGGGTTCCAAGGGGGGTAACTAACCTAGTTCTCTCTAGTGCTCCTTAAGGTTCCTTAAGGATCCCTTGTACCCTCCCCCCTTGAACCACCCTCCCTTGAGGACCCTATAAGGAGAGGCCCATTGCAAGAACCTCTTCCTGGAAGATGGGCCCTCAGCCCGTAAAGCAGGGCTTAAATCATTGCTCATATTATTGTAGGGGTGCCTTATGAGTATAATGGGGCCCGAACCCCTATTCTGCTTGATAAGGCCCCTTTTTTTAAACTCAACAACTTGCGATCAAGCATATGGGAACCCTTGAAGGCACCTCCGCCCTCGAAGGCGAAGCTGGACTAGAACCCTTCGACCCGAAATCCCGAAGCCCTACTTGGAGGATCATGGGACTTAGTAAGTAGGGTTATGGCTTACTTAAAAAAATCCATGTAGGGTACGTATAACCTTAGTTACTCAGTCCCATGATCCTCCAAGCACAGAAACCCTTGAACCCAGGAAAACCCTACGAAACCTCTAAAGCAGGCCTTAAGGGATCCTTCCGGGATCATGAGTGTTGCTTTTAGGTTATCCTGCAAGGGTTCCTTTAAGGGTTCCTTTTGAGGGATCCTTTTAGGGATCCTTTGAGGGATCCTTTGAGTGATTCTTTAAGGGATCCTTTAAGAGATCCTTTGCGGAATCCTCTTAGGGATCCTTTAAGTGATCTTAAGGGATCCGATAAAAGATACCCCGCCCTGGAAGGCGAAGATGGATCACAACAGCAGCATGTTCAGTGATCCGCTGCTCGGATCGGTATGTCAGAGGGAAGTGACCTGGAGTTGTGGGTTTTTTTGTTTAAGGCTTTGGGTTTAGGGTTCTCTGATCGGTGTGTGTCAGAGAGTCAGAGAGACATGACGCGGACCAGATGGTTCGTTTTGGGTTTACGGCTTGGGGTTTAGTGTTTAATGCTCCAAACCGCCCATAGAGGGCAGGAGTGGGGCTTAAGGCTCAGAGTGTAGGGTTGAGGGTCCAAGCCATAGTGTATGAGTCGGGGTGGTTAGTGCTCGTGTTGGCTTCGTGGTGCTGCTGTGCTGCATGGGACGGACCATCATGTACCCCACAAAGCTTTTCCAATTATTCTGGCGCCTACATCGGATCCAAAACCCTGCGGTTTGAGCAGCACCAACAGATCCGAAGAAATACTCAAAGCTTCAGCCCTGAAAACCAGAACGATACCGGAAGCTCAAACTGTACATATGGGTGGTTGTCAAAATTAGGGTCCTTTTTTTGGGGAACCCTAAATATTAGGTGCCGTATTATAATAACGAGCCAAAAAAAGACCCTAATTTTGACAACCACCCACATATGGGGCCTAGAGCTGCGTGGTTGAGGGATCAGGGTTTGGGAGTTATCAAGGAATCAAGAGAGCTGTTGATGTCTCCTTGCGTATGTTGAGCCTTTTTTTCATGGTTCTGGAGTACCGCACCGGCCCCTTTCGTCCGGATCGGTTCCTTAAAGGAAAACACAACGAAGCTGAAGTTTATTCTGTTGGCTTGTTTCTCCCTGGTTTTTTTTTCGAAGTCTTGTTTCAGATACCATGAAGTATGCGTCTGGTTAGTGGTTGCGTGAAACTCAGCTCCAATACCTGATCCTGATATATACACGCTTGCAAGTATATGCTGACTTACAGCCCGGTAATAATTCCAAGACACCAAACCCTGAACCCCAAAGCCCCAACGATTGATGATACAAATCCTGCATTACGCATGATATTAAGGAATATACCATAATTCCCATAGTTTAGGGTCCTTAAGGTAGTGCGAGATTTATATCATCAACCTAAACCCGAAGCCCTGAAACCCTGTAGATCCCTTGAAGGTACCCTTGTAGATACCCTTAAAGGAACTCCAGGATTTGAATCATCAACCGAAGAAATGCTTTTTTACCCATAATAATAAGGAATATACCATAATTCTTACAGTTTAGGGTCCTTAAGGTAATGCAAGATTTATATCATCAACCTAAACCCGAAACCCTGAAACCCTATAGATCCCTTAAAGGTAACCTTGTAAATACCCTTAAAGGAACTCCAGGATTTGAATCATCATAATAAGAATGAATATATATATATATATATACACACTATATTTCCCATAGTTTAGGGTCCTTAAGGTAATGCAAGATTTATAACTTATATCATCAACCGAAGGAATGCTTTTGCCGTGCCTGCCATACACTTCTTCGGCTTCCCCGGATGGCGCACGCTGACACCGCCCTTCATGCCGTTCGACCTCTTCGAGGCCGCCTAGGGTAGCTTTAAAGGGCTCCTTTTAAGGGATCTATAGGGTTCCTTAAAGGGATCTGTAGGGATTAGGGTTTATTGGCTGTAAGCTCAACTTTTCAACTTTTGGGGTTCTTATAAGGTAGTCGATTCTGGAAGTTTCGACTTTTATTTCCTTGGGTTTTGGGCCAGTGAGATTGAGTCCTTAGAGCACCAGGGCATAGAAGTCCTTGGAGCCTTAGGGTAAACTTCGTGGGAGAACTTTAATCCATCCTTAGGGGTACTTAGAATTGTTTTTTTTTTTTAATTTTTGGTTGTTTTAATCCCGAAGAAACAGCTAAACTTCTGATTTTTGCTAGGGTTCTAAGATGTTTATGTCGGACCGAATGTTCAAACCACGTGGATCTGTTTATGGGAACATAAAAACCCTCAAGGAGCTGTAAAAACCTACACCTAAACCCTCAAACCCTGAACCCCTGAACCCTAAAACCCAAAAGCCCTAAACCGTGGCTCTATGATAAAGGCAGCCATCAGCCTCTTTGCATTATCTACTGGAGGTTCAGTGCCCAACTTTTGGGGTTCAGGGTTTCAGTTGGGTGTAGCGAGGTTTAGAGAATTTTGGGTTTTGACTTCAGGATATGAGTTTTATGTTGCCCGGTTAAGGAGGACGAGCTGTGCCCTAAACTTGAGTAGGCAACTAGGTCGCCAGCTAGCTAGGTAGGCAGGCAGGCCGGCTGTGTGGGTTGGTGGGTGGGTTTAGCTACCTTACGAAATTCAACATGTAGGAACACAAAGAGACCTAAACGTCACCCAAAACCTGTTCTGCCATGGCGAGGCACACCGGCTGGACTCAGAGAACATGCACTTGATCCCAGTCTGCACTTCGTGTCCTACGCTCTTCATGCAGCATTTTGTTGGCCGGCCAGCTTTATGATTACCCTAAGGCTCTAAGGACTCATATTTTAAGGCGTTTGGGCTTAAAGACCATATTACATAAGGCTTTTGGGCCATTTCGAGCCCTAGGGTTATGGTCTGGATGAGGGTTGAGCGTTGAGGGCTCACCCTAAACCCTAAGCCCTAAACCCTAAGCCCTAAACCCTAAGCCCTAAACCCTAGGGTTTTGGACGCCATGAACAGGAGCCCTCGCAACCGACAAGGCACGACATCGAATGGAGGGTACAGGTAATGCTGACCTGTTCCCACACCGTAAGCCCGACGCTGTGCTCTTTGCAGGTACCTCTATCATCTAAATTGAACCCTAAGGCTCAAAATGGCCCAAAAGCCTTACATAGTATGGTCTTTGGGCCCAAAAGGCTTCAAATATGAGTCCTTAGAGCCTTAGGGTAAAGGCTTCATAAAGGCTTCCCCTAAGGCTCGAAGGACTCACATTTTAAGGCTTTTGGGCCCACAGACCATACTATATAAGGCTTTTGGGCCATTTTGAGCCGTAGGGTTATGATAGACCATATGCTTCCGCGGTACAAGAGCACGCTCTTAACTTCTCAAACTCTTCTGAGGCCCCCCTCTGTTTCCCTTATCGGACCTTTAAGAACCACTTATTGGCTGTAAAGGGTTTAGGGTTTAGTTTTTTTGGATTTTGGGGTTCTTATAAGGTAGTCGATTCTGAAAGTTTCAATTTTTATTTGTTTGGGTTTTGGGCCAGTGAGACCAGCACTGGGATAGAGTCGAGCTTATCAAGCCCTGGGCTCGGACATTATTGGCGTTCGTGCCATTTCCTGAGGGGGCTGCCTTGTACAGCTACAGTAAATTATAATACCCTAAGGGTCCATGTACCTATATAGTATATACATGGGCCTTAAAGTAGTCCTTATATAAGTACTTTAGGGCCAAAGTTTCTAGTATATGGGTACATGGACCCTTAGGCATATATACATACTGAAAGCTTGTTCCGATACCAAGGCCTGTGTAGTACTCAAGTCCTAAACCCGAACAGAAGCGCTTTTATGGTCGAAGTCGGCTAAGCCCTACGGCCCTCTAAACCCCACTTGGGGGCTCACGGGACGTAGTGAGTAGGGTTATACATAAGATAACTATACTTGTGTTGGAGCACTTCTACCCTTATTTACTAAGTCCCATGATCCTGCAAGTAGAACGCCTACAGCCCTATAAGAACCACAAGCTGTGGAAGGAGAGATGGCTCGGGAAAGAAGATGGAGGCAGCGCCTGCCCTTCTCTGATTACCGGTTGCGGTTGTTCAGAGTTTGAGCGTTTAGGGGTTACCTGGACCCTCTAAAACCATCCTTTTTAGGGTTCCCTGTTCTGATTTCCTTGTAGAAGTCCTTAAAAGGGCAGGTTCTTGGGGTTACGGTTTAGGGTTTTGGGGTCGAGGATAAGCCCTCAGGGAGTGTTAGGGCTCGTGTTTTTCAGGTTCCTGGTCGGAGCTTAGGTGCTTCGGGTGTAAAGGTTATAGGGTTTGGGATTTGGGTGTCCAGAACGCTGTGCGCCAAACCTCGAGAGGAAATGGTCCCAAGGCAAAGACCCTCTGCTAGAACCCCACAAGTCTCGTTGAAAAGGCCCTCAACCACATCCCAAACCCATAAAATCCTGGAAAAGCCTTGGCCCTAGGCATCTACGGACTCATATGGGTGGTTGTCAAAATTAGGTGCCGTATTATATTAAGGACTCAAAAAGGCGACAGAATTTTGACAACTACCCATATATTAAGGCTTTGGGGCCCCAAGACCCATACTATGCAAGGCTGTTTGGGCTATTTTGATGCCCAGGGTGATGAGGTCCGACGAAGCACTGTCAACAAAAACAGCCTCCTGGTGCTTGGGGTTTAGTGTTTAGGGTGTAGGGAATGGGGGAATGGATCACTATAGTAGCCCCTATATAATCCCCAAGCATAGCCCAATATCCATTCCCTCATTCCCTACTAAGAACCAGACAGCCTTCTGAGAACCCTAAACCCCTATAGTACCTATAGAACAACCCTTATAGTAACCCTTCAAGGAAACCTTGAAGGAATCCCCTTCCCGACCAAATTCCAGACAGGGAATATAGATACCCTAAGACCCCTTCTAGAACCCGTATAGGACCCTTTAAAGCAACCCTTACAGGACAGCATACCCTGGGGATCAAAATAGCCCAAAAGCCTTAAAAAAGTATGGTCTTTGGGCCCAAGAGCCTTAACACCCAGACCCCCGAGTGGATCCAAAAAGTAGATCCCTTAGTGGGGGTTCCTATAAAGTACCCTTAGTAGTATAGGGCCCCAAAATAGGGGATCTACTTTCCAGATCCTCCCGAATTTCTGGGTTTATGAGTTCTTAGATGCCTAGGCTAAGAACCAGACAAACCCTAAACCCTAAACCCTAGACACATTCCGAAGTTCGAAGGGTCCCGAGTCTTGGCTCTACAACTGCTGCGGGAAGCTTTCCGAAGAGAGCCTCGGCCCCGCGTTTCCCCTAGCTTCAAAGGGGAAGAGGAGTGACCCTTTAAAGGGATTTATAGCGATTCTATAGGGGTTCTATAGGGTTTAGGGTTTAGGGGGTTTAGGGGAAAAGGAGGGACCCTTAATGGGAACCCGTACCCTATAATGGGCTATATAATGGGTATATAATAGCTATATTAAGGGTATATACCTAGGGGTCCTTATTAAGGGTCCCTCCTTTTACCCTTGGAGTAGTTCCGGGGCTCCGGGGGAGTTTAGGGGTTTAGGGTTTAGGGTCTAGGATTTAGGACTTATCTCCTAGGCTTCCGTAGGCAGGGAATAGTCCACCACCCATATGGGAGTTTCCGAAAACAGGGGACCCTAAAATAGTAGTACCCTAAATATTAGGACTGAGGGCTATAAGGGGTTTTGGGTGTAGGGTTTAAGGTCTCCCCGATTCAGGGCTTCTAGGGCTTTCGTGCTTGGGGTTTAGCACCCGAAAAATGCTAGGCTTTAGGGCTCCTTGTTATGCTGGCTATACGAACCTCCGTAAACAAATGGTAGGTTATTTGGGCCACCAGTAGGGTTTAGGGCTAAGGGTTTTGGGTGTAGGGTTTAGGATGGTTTAGGGGCTTCCAGGGTTCATTGTTTAGGGCTTCTGGGCTTGCAGGCGATTCGTGTTTGGGGAATAGGGCGTGCGTTTAGGGTTGATGGGTTTTTTGTTGACTACTACATGGTGTATCCAAACAACACAGGGTCCAAAATTCCAGGTCCTATACTTCGAATTTCTTCGGGTACCCTAAACCCTAAAACCTGAACCTTAAAACTCTAAACGCTCACTCTACACCCGAAAGGCTCAGATCCCGGCTCGCTAAGGATCCCTTACAGCACCCTTCAACAGGAGCCCTTAAAGGGAACTCCAGAAAGTTGGAATATGGATTAATGGTAGGATCCCCTTTAATTTACCTTAAAGGGGTTAGGATAGTCATATTCCAACTTTCTGGCTTTTGCTATAACCCCTAGAGCCTTGAGTCCCTAAAGATCCCTTATCCCACAGGGTCCCCAACATGTATATGTACATAAAAAAGAAATATAAACATAAGTATAATATAGATGGAAATATAAACTCCCTCTCCCTCTCCCTCTCCCTCTCCCTCTCCCTCTCTCTCTCTCTCTCTCTCTCTCTCTCTCTCTCTCTCTCTCTCTCTCTCTCTCTCTCTCTCTCTCTCTCTCTCTCTCTCTCTCTATGTGTCTATATATATATACATATATATATATATATATATATGGGGTACTTAACGAAGCCATAAGAATAGTTTCTTCCATAGAAACCCTACTTCTGACCAAAAAAGGGTAGTTAACTAGGACCCTTAGAACCCTTACAGAACCCAGCTTCTGCAGCCCAGGAGTGATCAGGTCCTCGTGAAGCAGGAGAAGACGCTTCAAGAAGAATGCGTCCAGAACGACTACGTATAGGGTTTAGGATGTACCCGAAGGTTCAAAACAGCCCAAACGCCTTGCATAGTATGGGTCTTTGGGCCCAAAACACTTAAAACATGAGTCCTTAGAGCCTTAGGGGCAGAGTTTGGTGTACCCTAAACACTAGAGCTGGAAGGCCTTCTGGTGGTATTCTAGGCTTTTGTATAAACAAGCTTTGAATGATTAGAAGCGGCAGAACTGATATTCGCTCTAGATTCCCAGAGAATTATCGTAGAGTGTGCTAACAACAGATTCTCAATCTTCAGGCCCCAGAAATTGGTCCGCTATCTTCTTCCATTCACCTTTCCTGCAGTCATTAAAACCTAAAGCTCCAAACCCCTAAACCCTAAACCCATCCTAGGAGGGCTTACTTTGCCCGTCCAACTATCGTCTATTCGAGCCGAAAGGCCGGCAAAAATCAAAGTGAGGGTTTGGGGAGTAGGGTTCAGGGAATACAGAGGCTACAATGAAGCAAATTGGCAGGGCCTTTGTGTTTCATACTCCTAGGGTGTGTAAACCCTTGCACCCTGAAATCTAAACCCTAAATTTCAAAAACCGCAACCCTAAGCCCCTAAACCCTAAACCCCATGTTCTGACACACGGGCAGAAGCTGTTGGCCAGGGCCGGTCAGTGGCCACAAGTCAGCAGATCAAGAATTGAACCACTCCAGGATTTCGGTTTCAGGGTTCAGGGGCTTACTTGGAGGGTCGGGGGACTTAGTAACTGGTTATTTTGGGGACTTATAAGTACCATAACCCCAATTAGGGTCCCGTTAAGGGTACTTATAAGTCTACTTACTACCTACTCACTAACCTTCTGAAGCTTCAAACAAAGCCTTAAACTCCACAGCCCCAAAGCCACAGACCCAAAATCCAAAACAACGGATAATCGGGGAGGTGCACTTTAGTACCACGTTTGGAGGCTTAGTCTAGGGCTTTCCAGGCTTAGGTAGGCCCTATAAAGGCCTAGTTTCTGTAGACGGCCAGGAACTAGTCACAGGAACAACCAAAAAGGAAGCTTGGCCAAGATCTGTACCTTACTTGGAGGGCCGGGGGACTTAGTATTATAAGTCCCAAAAATATCCAGTTACTAAGTCCCCCGACCCTCCAAGTATTCGCCTTCAACACCAAAAACCCCAAGAAGGCTACTGCTGGCCCGGCAATCCGAATTGGTGCAAGTGAGCAACGGCAGAAGCCCTCGGCATAGGTCGGCAAACATACAGCCCCAAACCCCTAGACCCTGAACCCTACAGCCCTACTAGGATGCCCAATAGTACCCTTATTCCCTTTTTGTAGTCTTAGGTTCCTTATAAAGTTACCCAATACCAAAAAGTGAGGCCTTTTTATTCCTAGGTTACTGGGCATCCTAGCCTAAGCCCTCAACCCCAAAGCTCTAAAGCCGTTAACCCCGAAGCCTGAACTGCTAAGTTGAAAACGCTCGGAAGGAGGAACGGTAGCCCGAACACTCCGACTGATACCTGTCCCTAAGGGTCCATGTGCCCAAGTCGGGTTCCATTTAAGGGATCCTATAAGGATTCCTGTAACGGTTCCTATAGGGGTCTAGGGTTTAGGGTTTAAGGGTCCATGTGCCCAAGTCGTTTCTACATTGGCCCAATGTATCTATATAGGGATTACTTTAAGGCCAATGTGTATACTATTTGGGTACATGGACCCTTAGGGTTTCAGGGTCCTCAGCAAAGGAGAAAGGAGCCCTTGTTGCGCAAAAACTGTTACGACGATCGCGCAAGGCACCTTAAACCCTAAACCCCTGACCATAAGCCCTGAACCATATAGATTATGCCCAAGGAGCCACGTAAAACCCAGACTCACTGATGGACGGATATATACGGGTTCTATATAAGGGTTTCTAGGAGGGCGTCGCAAGGATTCTGTCAGGGTGCTGCAGAGTGCTACCCAAAGGAGTGCTAATGTATCAAAACACCCTAAGAGTCCGTGTACCCGAATAGTATCTGCAAAAAACATGAATATGGACTACTTGGAGGCCAATTCTTAGACCCTAAACCCCAAGCCCTTATGGTACCCTTTTAGAACTCGTATAGGATCCCTTAAAGGAGCCGTACTTGGGTACGTGCCCAAAAGCTCCGAGTCGGACCCCTCGAAGATTCTGATGGTATGCGTGTTATGCCCTTGTCTCAGGGGTACTCAGACATATTTTTTCAAATTTTTGGTTCGTATAATGCCTAAGAGACGGCTGAAATTCTATGTTTTGCCAGGGGTCTAAGTTCAGTATGGAAACCCTACACCCTACAACCCAAACGACTCCAGAGACCTAGGGTAGCTGCCGTTGCTCAAGCGAGTGCTTTACTGGACCCCTTGGAGTTTAAGGGGCAAGTGACTAGTAGGACTACTTCTGTTGTTACTTCCATATAAGCCTGGCTAAAAAGGGTAAAAGAAGGGTACTTCCGGGGCTTGGGGTTCCAGGGTATTAGGTTTCAAGGTAGTTTTTGTTGTTCTAGGTTCCTGTATTCAAGGGATCCATTAAGTAAGGGTTCCTTGGGAGGAACCCTTTTAGAAGCCCCAGGCCCTGAATTGAAACTTGCAACCGTTGGCCCTAGAGTGGGCCCTGAACCGTGGGATCTTTACATACCTACTATACACTGTCCATATCAAGCCCATACTTCAAGTTTCAGATTGTTTCCTTGCGAAGCGTGGTATGCGGGGTTGGAGCTGTGGATTGGCGTCGACCTGTTGTCTCCATTGATAGCTCCTTGTTTGGGTTTAACCAACTCCATAGTTAGGATCGTTTAGTGCTTAGGAGTTGAGAGGTTTAGGTGTAGGGGTTTGCGTCTTACGGCTGAGGGCTGGCTGAGGGTTTAGGGCGTAGGGTTCAGTACTGAAGGTTTGTGGGTTAGGGTGCAGGGCTCGCATTGACCTTATCTTTAGTCCTTTGCAACCGAAAACGTGCAAGACCATACGATGCGCGTGAAATCTGACAGGTGTACCATATGGGTGGTTGTCAAAATTAGGGTCCCTTTTTGGGTCCTTAATATAGTACGGCACCTAATATTTCGGGTTCCCCAAAAGGGGCCCGAATTTTGACAGCCACATATCAATGTCTCTGTGAACCAGTTGAGGAGTCAGAGCTGAGTCCGGGGACAACCATGTTTGTGACGTACCTACTATAGGGTTCCTTAAAGGGATCCGTAAAGGAAGCTATAGGGTTCTATATCGGAATCTATAGGGTTTAGGGTTTAGGGTACTACATGGAGGTTCACGGGACGTAATAAGTAAGGTTATGAGTACCGTAACCGTGATTACTTATAAGTATATTTAGCTCAGTTACTAAGTCCCATGAACCTTTAAGTAAGTCCCCTGATGGTAGACCACAACCCTAAACCCTAAAGCTCGACACCCTGAGCCCATAGACTCCTGGGCTCTAGCAAGGTTGCCGAAGTCAACCAAGTGCAGGGCTGTCTGTTTTGTGGTGAACCTTTCAGGCTTGGTCTTTCGAACTTTCATACGAGTAGTTCCTTAAGTTCGGGTGCCGTTTAGGGTCAATTTAGAGCAGTACGTGCTCATACAGTATAGGTTAGATACGGCCCCCACTCAGTAATAGTTGAATAATAATCATAATATAGATATAGTAGGTCCTTAATAGTAGCCCTATTATAGACTCTTACTGTATGGGGGCCGTACCTAAAGTATAGGTGCCGGAAGGATCAGGGCTTGGGCTTTCGAGATTGAGTTCAGGGGCGGCAATAGTGTTTCATCGCTGCTGCTACGCACGTCTACTACACAATGCCCCATCTCAAAGTCTAATTAAAAAGGACCTATCCTACAAGGTCTCCGTAAATCCTGTTTCGCTTATGTACGAGGGTCCAATACAGCACGAGAGGCCGCACAGCGCAGTGCTTGATGCTTCTCCGACGACCCGTCAGAAGAAACTGCAAGCCACAACATCGGGGGCCATTTGCTTCGTCTTCCAGTATTTCTCAAAAGAGTTGGGTTTTCAGGATTTTGGGGTTTAGGGTTCAATATAGACACCTGATCGCCACTCCTTAGGATTGGGGCTCCGTGTTGAAACTGTATTATACTATACCACAGAACCGCCTGTTCTGATTCTTTGAGCCCTGCAATCGGGTTTTGGGACGTGGAGACCATAGTATCGAAGGCTTTTTGGGCCGGCTTGAGCCGTGGGGCTCCACTATTGGACGCCAGAGCCTTCCCCTATGGGTCCAAGTCGTCGTTGTTTATGGTTTTTCATGCCTATCCAGGCCCCTAAAGTCCTATAAGAAGGAGTACTTGGATTCTCTGGGTTCTCCTTAGTAGAACTCCACACTCAGATTGCTTTGCTTCTCCCTTGAACCGTCCAATCCTAATCATCCTTGTCTGAGCGAACTTGCGGGGAGGTCTTTAGGATGAGTCGTAGCCCTGGGCATCAAAATAGCCCAAAAGCCCTATGTACTATGGTCTTTGGGCCCAAAAGCCTTAATATATGAGTCCTTAAATGCCTAGGGCCATAAGGGTTCTATATAAGGGTTCGTGTTTTATAAGGGTTCTAGAAGGGCTCAGCCATCTATAAGGATGCCTAGGGTAACAGCCCTGAGTTCCGATAAGCTCTAGGCCCCGCTGTTATGCAGACAGGCTTCATCGTCTCCTCAGGCTCGCATGACACAGTGTTTCAACCACCCCCCATTGGGGCAAGAGGGTTTAGGGTTTAGGGTTTAGGGTCGAGTACCTATACAGCAGAAGACGCAAGCCACGGATTATGTAGTTTTCAAAAGCCAAGACCTGCTGTTTCATTATGTCGACGCCTCAAAAGCCGTTACGTAGAAGTATCATATGAGACAAGACAGTACTCTGGACACGCCAATAAGCATCTATGTTGGCATTTGGCCCCCGTCGAAGTTTCACAGCAGGCGGAACGCTTGCTCACAGGGAGTTGACATTGTCAAATGGACAGCTACCAAATTCCATCAAGATTCTCTAAGTACAGCACACTTGGAGGATCATGGGACTTAGCAAATAGGGTTAGAA